CGGGGACAAAAGAAAGGAAGTAATTGGGTGATTTTGAAAATCTTGATAAAGAATGTTAACAAGATGGTGGAAAGTTTTCCAGCGTTGGACTTCTGATTTGTATGTCTACTATTTGGGTTTTTCCTTCACTCTTGGATCATTAAGCTACTGCATTATCTTTTGTTGTACACTTTCTCACCATTAATTGATTCTGCATCACACAATACTTTCAAGCACTATGGAATCATTGGAGGGCCTGCAAGGTGCTGCAACATCCTGAAGGTAGAATGGGTTTACAACTACCCTATGAAATCAACCAATCCTAAATATCTTTCCATGTTTTATGATTTCAAATATAATAGTCATCTAATGGCTACACTGGATTCATTAGTTCTATATCTGATAATCCCAACAGGAATCTCCAAAGATGCCTTTGCAAATTGCAAGTAGCTAATGCATTTCTTCTCTGTGATTGTGTGTATAAAACTTTTAGATTTATATGTGGTAAATCAGGTTCTTATGCCCTTATGCTTATGTGAGTTGTTGAGTTATATATATTTATATTTTAAGTTTTCACTGGAAAGTTTTGGTAAAATATTGCACCACCTTTATAATTTTATTCCTTTTGTTTGCCTTCGTAGATTATATTTCCATTCTTGTGGTGTCCAAACATTTTAGAGAGGGCACCTAATCCATAACTTTTTCTCCAGTTTGAATCTGCTGGACTTATTTTCATGCCAGAGTACCTAGATCCTTACTCCCAGGAGCACGAAGTTCTCGACTGAGAGATCGCCAGAAGGAAGAAAGAGAACTACTAGTAAAGAAAGCATTTATAGATGATATGTTGACAGAAAACAATCTATTATCGAATCTTCTTGGAAAAGGATCAACTTATCATGCAGTATTGTGGGATCCTGAATCACTGCCTTCCCCTTGTAAAGATTCTCAGTCATTTCCTTTGCCCACTTTTCCAGATGCATCTAGCTTGTTAATTGATGAGAGAAACATGGAAACCTGCAACAATGAAAAGAAAATTTTCCATCCAGAGAATGTGTTACATGATGGGCTCGATAGTGTTGGTACTACATCAAGCAGAAAATTATTGCCTATTGGTACCAATAATGACGATTGTTGTGATAGTGTGGTTGACCAAACAAAGTTAAATATGGACACTTCCGACAACTTGTATGCGGAAGATGCTGATTTGCCATATGGTTTACATGTTGACTCAGAAACATTGGCATGTGTGGCTTGTGGGATTCTTGGTTTTCCATTTATGTCTGTAGTACAACCATCTGAGAAAGCATTTGAGAAATTCTTTCATGCAGATTGCCAATCGTCTCAAGAAGGGACAACTCTAAACTCTGAAAAGTCTTTTTCTTCTTCATACATGGATGTCAGTTGCAATGGTTCTGCTTCAGGTTCTACTGCTGCAAACTTGGTCTTATTTAATATCTTTTCCTGGTTTCCTTGGGTTATATAGTCATTATTTTGATAATTGATTGGATGAAGATCTCACTTAAGAACTTATTGTGCTATGCAATTTTCTATGCAGAGGAGTGTATCCCCCCTTAAGCCATCTACTAAGCCAACACTTGAAAGAATTAGTTGATCTCACCATCTATCTGTTATGTTTTTTAGATCTGTAGGGAAATAGTAATGAAAAGCCAGGAACAGTGTGCTTGTAATGGCTCTTTTCCCTCTGCATTGGTCATCATAGGTCCTGCAGAGGGTCAAACATGTGGATGCGTTCCAAGTTTGCTGAACTGCTAAAGTCTCAATACAAAGGGACTTGTAAATTTGCAACCTTGAGATGATCTCCATGCATATGATGGATTGATAACCTTTCTTAGTTTTCTTTTTTACCCTTGGAAAGATAAAGGGGGGAGTGGCTTCAAGAGATCAACCTCTAGATACTGACCACCAATTTTCTATTCCACATTGACCGGGGGGGGGGGTGTTATTATCCTTGTGCAACTATTTCAAACATTAAATAATTCTGTATTCTACTCAGAATTCTACCCTGCTTCAAGCATAAGGTACAGCTGTCTTGACTCTGACATGACCTTTAATGTTGGAATTTAGCATAAACTGGGGTGTTTTTTGTAGGTCTAGGGTATTCCTTAAGAAGCTTGAGTATCATAATTGTGTTAGGATGAAAGAAGCATTAAAATGGTTCAATCCTTAGGTCAAGATATTTCTTTGAGGTATGATGGTTTCTAAAGTGGTTGTATGGGAAAGGTCCATTGTCTCTGTTATTATAGGAGGTAGATCATCCCTTTGTTTTATTTTTCCATCTTTGGGAAATGGGGGGGGGGTGTCTTCTGCAAGTTTTATGTACATTTTTTGCTTACCCCTTAAAAGAAGAGACCTTTAACACTGCCAATTGTGTTTTTTTGTTTTTTTTTTTTGTTTCTGATAAAAAAATTGTGTCTTTTTGTTTGATATTTTGTCAAAAATCTACCCAACTCAACCTTAATTGCAATTATTTGGGCTCTATATATTGTGTCAAACATCCAAGTCCAAAATGAAATATAGAAGTGAGTTATTTTCAGTATTTTGTTAGGTTAAAAAGATTTGAATTTTGTAGATGTTATTATACAGATATACAAGGGGGGCAAGATAAGAATGAAAATAGGAAAAATTACCTTCAAGCTGCAAGAAGAATATAATATTATACCCATGACTGGAGCCCTGAATTATGAGAGGGATTTCAAGAATCAAGCTAATAAAAAATAACAGCTGGAAATTCTTCATCACTACCAATCATCATCAAAAACAACCAAGTCACTTAACTGTTGAGGCATTTTCAAGTGATTGAACCATTACATGCTTCGATCTGCAGATTTCATGGCTGGTCCATCTATTTCAAAATCTGGGAGTCTGCAGATGTTTGCATCTGGTAAGGTTAGCAAGCTGTGGAACACATCTAATAAATTTCTAAGACCACGGGTCTTCTGTTTGGAGCACACACTAGAAATTAAGAAGCTATTGCTGTCAAAAGGTGGTGTAAATGTACTCATAATTTGCCATTCAGGTGAGGCAATCTATTTTATATTATTATTCACTTTATTATTTTACATCTTTCTGTGACTAACATGGCTCTACATGATCAAACTAGATGAGATATCTGAATTTTTTCTATCTTGTATACTTGAAGAGGACTGACTATGATTTCATTTATGGATTTGATTTCTATAGACTATCCCAAGATAAAGGCACATGCTACAGCCATAGCAGATGAAATTGGTGTTCCTTTCAACTACAAAGACATTCCACTGGAGCATGCATCTCAAGAAGATCTGAACTTAATTAATATTTCAATTGATGATGGACAGGAAGAATGTGGAGAAGACTGGACCTCAAAAATCGGACTCAACTTGCGATACTGTGTCAAGCTCAGGAAGGCATCTCTCTCAAATCAGGAGCAGCATGCTCGTGCCTTGGGTGGGTTGTTCTCTGATATTATTCCTGGCTCAAGACTCTCGGGGCTGAAGTGGCAGTGCAGAAGATCCCGAACACATCACAAAGGAATTGGACCAAATCAAGCAAAATCCTGTGAGAACGTACAAGTTGAGAAAAGCGATGCTGCCGATGCATTGGTAGGAAAACCAGATGACAGCAAGGTTGCCACAGAAAATAAAATCATTCAATATTCAAGAAGAAGCTCCAATGGTAAAACAGGTAATCCTGTAGGAGCTAATCGGCCTTGTGGCTACCTTAGAAAGCCCCTGTTGGGGGAAGTTGCAATGGTTAATAATGAAGACTCAGATGTTAACAGCAAAAAATCTTCTGAAGATAATTCTTGTGGCGCTGAGAAGCAAGAAAATGATCTTGGGCAGTCATCTATTTTTGTCATTCATAATGACAACATACATCATAAAATCCAGACAACTGAAGAAACTAGAAAAATGAGTGTGATTTCTGATCCATCCCAGTCTGCAGGTTTGCATGCCATTGCTGTTCCAGCATTTGGAACTGCTGAAGCACAGGCAGATAAAACCGTGAAGACTGACATTGAGGGCAAGGCTTGTAATTTGGTTACACAGGATGGTTCCGAAGAGCATGACATGCAATTCACCAATGAAATCAACAAGATGAATGAGTTCTCTACTCATCCAAATTTCCCACGTTCTCTGTCTGTTGCTATCTCAACTGATAGAATTTATGAAACAAATATGGATGACGGAATTCTGGGGGAAACAAATGAGAAGGCTGAGTCTCATAATTATTCAACACTGGATAAATCAGAAATGCAACAAGTTATCCAGACTGTAAATGGGACTAACAAAGATCCTGAGGGTTATAATGATGGCAACTCAACAACAGATCAGTGTATTCATCCCATCCCAATATTAGAATCTTCTGGAGTTCCAGAAGAGATACAAGATACTGAGGGGCTATGCATTGGTCCTGATGATCATTCTTCACACAACAGAATGGAGTTGGAAGCGGCCGACTCCAGTATTTTGGACACCAAGCTGAATAAAAAAGTGGGAAACAAAAGAAGAAGAGAAGTAGAGAAGATTACAGGTCAGTGCCTTGAGGGCTTTATTAGAAGCCCATGTGAGGGGCTGAGGCCAAGGGCAGGCAGAGGTGCAACATCTGGGCCTGGAACTCGTATCAATACAAGAGTGGAAAAGGCAGTGGTTAAGAAGATAAAGAGACGACTGGACGGTGATACTGCTTCTAAACAAAATAAAGATGAAACTAACAGGGTTCACAAATGCGACTTTGAAGGCTGCCATATGAGTTTCAAGGTAAAAGCAGATCTCCTTGTGCACAAGAGAAATCGGTGCCCACACCAGGGCTGTGGCAAACAGTTCAGCTCCCACAAGTATGCCATGCTTCATCAGAGGGTTCATGTTGAAGACAGACCTCTCAAGTGCCCATGGAAGGGTTGTAAGATGTCATTTAAGTGGGCTTGGGCAAGGACAGAGCATTTACGGGTACATACAGGGGAGCGACCTTACAAGTGCAAGGTTGCGGGATGTGGCCTAACATTCCGGTTCGTGTCAGACTTCAGCCGGCACAGACGGAAAACTGGGCATTATATGAACTTGCCCACGTAGTTACATTCTTTTAGTTTTTGGTAGATTTAAGGGTTTATTTGGGTCATGCAGAAGTGAACAAAAAGTTTCAATTCTGCATACAAGAGATGCACAGTATAGTGCAAACCCGAATGTCCTGATGGGTGTACATTAGACTGATAACCACGTTAGGGCTACATTCTCCACTCATTCTTAGATTTGTTGTAGTAAAGATCATTCTAAATTTTGCATGCATTTTAGTTCATCTTTCTGGTTACATGATCATTCGTTCAGGTTTTTTGCCCCGAGTACTCTTTAGGTGGTAGCTGCGGTTTGAGTAGCAAAGAGCTTTAGTAATTTCTCAAAAATCGTTCAGCCATCTAATGTTGGACGGTTGCAGGTGGTAGCCTACATGGACATCAGGTGTAGGTTTAGGTTGAGATCTGAATGTGGCAGTTGGGTAAAGCGCCAGTGCCAGGGCCCACATTTGTAGTGTCATAATAAGGGGCCCGTTTGGTGACAGCTGAAATGGCTGAACCGAATGTTTTGTTGTCTTTTTGTGAATATAAAGTCGTTAAGGAGGTTCTGAGTTCGTTAATGGCTGAAGCTGAAGCTGGACTTATTATTGTACTCTTGTATATTTATTATTATCGTTGTTTTATCCACAATGACAATAAATATAAATCATTCAGTTCAGTTCAGCCACTGGAGCCGTTTATCAACCGAATGGCTTATTGACCCAGTGACAGGATCTCCGTGTCCGTGGTGGTATAGGCAGACCTTACGTGCACCTCGCCTGCTCTCTCCCTTGTGTCGATTTCTTCATCAGCAGCTGAGCTCCAACCGTCCTCTGTTCTGTTCTACACTTCTACTCGTACTTCAGTTAAGAGATCCATGGTTGATCCGTCTTTGTTGGAATTGGATTAGCGGTTAGCCCATTGTTTGTACATTGTCCCCATACGCGGTACGCCATGACTCATGAGTTTGATTTGAAGTTTTGAACTATGGAGGCATTTTTCAGAACCACTGCTCTCTACGCGTTTAGTGTTAAAAAGAAGGGTATCCAAAAAGCACCAAATCATGTATTATTAGCCCAGGTTCACGTACGTGGTGGCGGAACCCTTGAACTCGTAACCAAATGATGGTACTATATTACTATTGCTTCTTTTTTTTTTTTCTAATTTTAGTTTTCTATTTCCTTTTATTTTTTATATTTTTTTTCACTTAATGAAGTGGTATTTCTCTCTGAACCAGAAACTAAATGTTGAGAGAATTGGACCAGGCATAAACCCAAAATGGCATTTTTTGGCAAAAAATAAAGTGGGTCAATACATAGATTGCAGAAGAGGATGGCCTTTGTGCAATAGCTGGGTTGCTCCATTGAGATCTGGGTGACTAGTGTTCAAATCTTGGAAAGAGCCTCTTTACGTGCTGAGATAAGGCTGCATATATCTCTATCCATGGTTTTCAAAATCAGACCAGACCAGACGGTTGGATTGGAAAAACCGGGAACCGGTCAGGTGACCAGTTTCGGTTTTCCCCAAAACCGTTGATTTTGGTCAGCAAACCACTAACCCGGGGTGGTTAATCGTTCGAATGATTTTGACCGTTTTTTATTTTTTTATTAAAATGGGCCGACCATTCGACCCATAACCGGACCCCTGACCGATTTGGTCTCCAGGTCGTTTTTAAAAACCATGCATCTACCCTTCGACTCGGCATTGGCAGGAGCCTCGGCCCAATACATAGATTGCAAAAAATTAACTAAAATAAATAAAAAAATCACCCCAATCAAACAACGTACTGCAAAGTTATGTTTAAAAAAAAAATCCAGAAAACTAGGAGACTTTGAAATTGGGATTGGTTCTTTTTTGCTTGAACTAACCGGTTGATGATTTTGGCTGATTTTTAACACATTCTGGTTTGAGGGATATTACTGAATCGGGCCATGGGCCTGAATCATGGCTCGATCAGTTTGACTAATTGCTCCCTCCAGTCCAGTTTTCTAAACATTGCTAGAAACAATTCAAAACTGGGTCTGTCAATGGGTCGGTTTTACCTGATCAACTGAATCGAACTGATTTCCTTAGTTCTGGTTCTAAGATTTTTTCCCAACTAATAATTATTATTTTAATGTCACTTTTATTAAGCTAATATTATGAAAAACAAAATTTTAATTTATCATTTATATAATAAATATATGCATCAATAGAATCAGGTCTATTGGGCCAGAGCCAATTATCCCAATTATTGAAGTGAATGGATTGTCCCAATTAATATTGGGCCGCTCAGGTTCTATCATGTTCTGAACTGATTCAGACCCGGACTAATTATTTTGTTAGTAATATATATAGAGGTTTTCCTAGTTTTTTATAATTTTTATTATATTTTGTCTAATAAAAAAATTTGATAGATGATATATAAATTAATATTTAGTTAAGAACACTTGATTTATTAACATATAAATAATTTACCATTTACTGTCATTTTACTAAAATTTATATTATGAAAAATCAAATTTTAATTTATTATCTATCGTTCAGACCCTATTTATTAATGGGAACGTTCTGGGTAACTGACTGAGAAACCCTACTCAAACAATTCCAATTTGAATTTCCACCTAAAAAACTTTTTTGTTTTTTGTAAAAAAACAGAAAAGGCCTTTTCCCTTAATTAACCACGGCGCATTGAATTATCAAATTGATGAAAAGAGTGTTATTAAATTAATTAAAACCAAAGAACCAAAAAAAAAAAAAAACCAAAACAAAACAAAAGAGAGGCACTGCTCCTTTAGTCCTTTCTACTTTTCCCTGTTTTACCTTACAATGTCAGTCTGTTGTATTGGCATGATCCCATTCATCCTTGCTCTCTCTCAACATGCCGCTCCTATCTCTCCAAGCCTTCTTTTATAGACGTTTCCTCTGACGTACCCATCTTCACTGGTGCCATCCGATCATCAGCTAACATATTAATGTTATTTGCATCAACCAAACATCAAACCCAATTGAGAATATAATTAAATGAGCAGAACATATTTGACCCCAGCAATTTCAAGGCGATCTTCCTCTATGAACCTAGTCATCCTCCAAAATTATGAATCATCTGACCTCCAAAATGTCTCTTTAGATGACGTTCCTCTTGCTGCTGCAGCTGCTGCTGTGCGCCATCAACACTGTGTCTCAGACCTAGGGTGAGAGAGACAGCTCCAAGGCCCCCCATGTCTAATAACCCGCTTTGATGGTATGGCACAAAACCTATCAACCCATTGTCCATGCCCGCCGGAAGCTGGCAATGCATTCTCGATTGCTTCCCTTGATTCCAGTTTTGAAGATTCCTGCCATCGTCGGTGTTCAGCACAGGACCTATTCCCAAGCAATCTGGTCGTTTTTCAGACATGAGCTCAACCATGAGCTTATTGTTGGGTTGATCCCCTGGAGGGGCGCTATCATCATTGCTGAAGGCAGCCCAGCTTTCGTTCTTGCTAGTATTCAGGTCCATTTCAGCAGAACCTTTGGTTTCAAGCATGTGGATCTCTTCAACCATAGGCTTCCACACTCTTACCCGAGCATTGATGAACCAGTTTGATACCTGAATACATAAATCAAATGGCGAGTGTCACTTAATGTCAGCCCTTGGGGAAAAAAACAAAAGCAAACAAAATGAACCAATTTGTATCACTCTTGGTGTCAGTTGAAATGCACGAATGCACATACTAACCAGCAGATGCAGCAAGGACCAAGACTAAGAGCAGCACCTAGGGATTGGAAAATACTAACAGCAACCATAATAGTACAAACTACAAAGGCCATCACAATTTATAGTTTTATAATATGTGATTTAATATTTTGCTGATGGTCCGACTACAGACTACACAATCACGATTGCACCACATCATACAGGCACACAGCAGGGAACCACAGAATCTCAGTACTAGACTGCTGGTAGCAAATGTGCACAGTTTGAAGAAACTAGGCCTGGAAAGAGAGGGCTTTAAGACCAGGCACAACAGGGAACCACAGCATCTCAGTATTAGTAGCAAATGAACAGTTTGCAGAAACTAGGCCTGGAAAGAAAGGACTACTTCAAGATCAGGTACAATAGGGAACTACAGCAACTCAGGAATAGTAGCAAATGCACAGTTGGAATAAACTAGTCCTGAGAAGAAAGGACTTCAGTGGAAATACGCAACCAGGACTACTAAGGATACACGGTCTGCAGATTCAGCCAGGACTACCAAGGATACTCGGAAGAAAGGAATTCTGAGTTACACCGAGTTCTATTTTTTTTTTTTTTTTCTAATGAAATGAAATGGGACATGTAGAACAAATGTGGGGCCAACCTGATTTCGAGTCAACCCAGTCTGAGTAGCCAACGTTTGTTTATCTGCATCAGTTGGATACCTGAGAAAGTGAAAACTCCCAAAATTATTTTTATTAGATGAATGTGTGCATGTGTATGTGTGTGTGTGTGAGAGAGAGAGAGGGGGAGAGAGAGAGAGAGCTTACGGGTGAAGGAAATGTTCAAATAACCATGCTCTGAGAATAGCAACTGAACGTTCTGGAAGGCCCCTTTGTGGTCTCCAGACATGCTGCTGGGGTTCAAGGAAGCCTAGACTATCCCCATTTAACTTCTGCTTCCGAAAGTATTGATCGACAAACTTCAGCCTTGGGGTCATTGTATCACCTTTACTACTACTTGTACCAGTTGTGGCAGATGACATATCTTCTCCTAGGATCTTTGTAATGTGTTTCAGCTGATCTGAGATGGCAATCTTCAGGCACCGGAAGTGTTTCGACATAGTCTTCAAAGCCAATGAGGTATAGGGTGTAGCAGCACTGAGACCAGCTACCGATTCAAACGATGATACCACCATTTGCATCTGCTGCTGGTATTGTTTGTACCTTCTGCTAACCTTTCAATACCATGGGAGAAGAAATCCATTACCAAATGGTGTTTAAGACATACAAATCTAACATAAATGTAGCTAAAAAATGTGAATTAACCCATTCATTAAAAAAAATGTGAATTAACCAGGGAAAGAATGATTTTTTTTTTCACCAGTGAACATTCTTTTAACACTAAAAATTCTTCCAACTATACTGATCCAGAGATCAAACCACCCCAACATTCACCAATTATAGACATAGCTCATAGTATATGGGTAGCAATGGTGACTGGAACAACATTCACTTGCAATGGTTCTGAAAATGAAGGATAGATAAAGTAAAATGATAAAGCAATCACTTGCCATAGTTTTGCAATTTATGAGGTAATATATACAGTAAAATGATCATCTAAATTGAGTCATACAAAGGAGAATAATAAGGAGGTGTTTGACAACATGGTTTTGTTTTTGAAAAAAAAAACTGCAACATTGTTTTTGTTTTCAAAAACAAAATTAACCATGTTGTTGAACACCCCCTAAGATGTTCTAGTCAAGAGTGACATGACAAGAAAAAGTGCAGTTGCCATCCACTGAATGATCACAAACTAAGCAAGACCATCGGTGGTATTTTTAATGGTTCTAGAGGACTACTAAATGAAATTTGACACTTGATTTGGAAAGGTGGGTAAAAGTCTGGTGAATGATGATAATAAATGTTAACTCAAACTGGGATGTCCACACGTTTGGACAGCCTCTTCAATGTCTTTCATATTTATTTACTATCAAATAATTCCTTTCCCTTGATTTTTTTTTTTTTTATTTTAAATAGCAGTTTGGAAATAAAGGAAGGCACCATGTGAAAATCCAGAAAGAAGATGAAGCCTTCTTTAAGGTAAAAACAATGAAGATAACTGGAAACATCTTGGCACCATCAAAAAATTATCTCCAAAACTTCCAACAACCCCAGGGATATATATGAGAATGATCTTCAACCTCTCAATTGGATGACCTTGAAATTTTCCTCCGAAAATAAAATAAAGAGACAACATCTTAATATGTAATGAAGGGGATTCAATTTATGTAATAGTTGTATTTTGGGTGTCAAAGAACTATGAAAGAAAGCAAAGTCATCCATCCCACTTGGCTTGCATTTTAATTGAATTGCTTTGGGATGCATCATTATTCTCATGCACTTCACTACCTCTTCATCTATTAAATTAGTGTCTGCTTCTGGGATATTTTTGTGAGATACTTCTTTATGTGATACATGAAGACAATGATACTATCTTTTGAACATTATAATGTCACAGAGGGATCAAATGAATGGAATTGCTTGCCAGAACAGCAAGAATATGACAGACAATTAACTTAGGTTGTTATTCATTCATCCCAATACAATCTTGTTCCACCTTTCAACCAAAATTTGTGCAATGCAAAAAGGGTACTGAATTCACCAAAAACCACAATGGCTATTTCACAAATTTCCTGAGAAACCACATAGATATTAACTATTTGTTTATTGGTAAACATAAATATTAACTATTAAAAGGGGAAAAGCTTCAACAAGAATTTGACCTGGTGCATTAATTAAACATCAGAAACAAGAATTTGCCCACAAAATTCTCCTTTTGTTCTTAACTCAAAAATCTTAATTTCCAAGGTAAAGCTTCAACAAGATAGTGGTTCTACGTCTTGCTCCTTTAAGTTCGGACTTCCTCATGCTAAAGTAAACTGAAAGAATACACAAGAATAATACCATGAAGTCCTAAAAGAGATCATTACTCTTCTACAGTTTCAAAGTGGTAGAACCAACTAGACATACTGAAGTCAATACCAACCAAACAACCACGAGTACTTCTATACCAAGGTAATGGTGCAAAAGATGCACCCTTACAAAAAATAGGAACCATATCAACGTTTAAATAATATCCTGTTGAAAGATGCACAGAATTTGTTTGGATAAGAACTAGAAAAAAATGATTCTTACTAATTAGAAAAATGTCACATGACGACCATTTGGCTACAGAAGATTTTGTAAACATATAAATGGAATTCCTCTTATAAATCCATATTGTAGTAGAGATTTATACAAGAACTAACCTAGTAAAAGGATCATGATGAATAATAAATTCATACTTAAAGATATAATGGTACCTATATTGTGGAATATGTACAATGAGCCCTACATCACAATATAATGAAATATTAAAATACATTTTTTTCAGCACGATCAAGGGCTTGAAGATAAGGGTGAACAAGAGATAATGGAAAATCGAGATGAAGACCTCCAGGCGGCACAAGAGAACAAATGATGCTTACAATGAGGATTCTCAATCTGAGGTGGAGAGAGTAGATCTCATGGAGTTAAAAAAAAATCAGTACCATGATTAAAAAGCATCTTGATGCTAAACGTACTACTACAGTGAAGCAACAAAAATGGGGGAACTTAGACGGTTATGGTGGTCATGGAGGCTCATAATGTAGAGGAGGATGCTTATTCCGGGGTCATACATCCAAAAAAGGATCAGGATCCTCCAGTTTGTAAACCTTCAAGATCAAATAAAAGCAATCATCCTTTATATGCTTCTTTAATTTACATTTCTTTGTTTATTTTAGAGAAGTTTTTTGTTCTTTGGTACTAGTTTTAAGGGGTAAGGTTCATGCCTCCCTCGGTTGTTTTTATTAATAAATTCTTTGCTCTTTTTTCTTAAAAGTATACATTTTTTCAGAACTCCGATAATGACACATTTAACAATAACATATGATGGTACACCAATGTATAGGCACTAACAAGAAGTCTTTGAATAAATTCAAGTTAATTATTTGAAATCCATCCCATAAATTTAAATTCCCAAATCAACAGCTACATGCTAGGTCATGGAAACAAAAAATATCATCTACAGCCTTAATCCTGAATTGGTTACTGGTATCCCTCTATCTATGTACCAAAAATCAAGGATTTTCCTCTATTGAAGCCTTACAATTAAAAGAAAACTCCCACCACTCCACAATGCACTGTAGATCTCTGTACATAAACTGAGTTGAGAAGCAGAACACCCCCACTCCAGAAAAGAAAGCCAAAGGAAATAATAAGATACCTTACTCATTCAATGCTAGTGGTGATAGAAGTTTCACCAAATAAATCCCCAATCGAATGAACTTGTACAACATGCAATCCAATAACCAAATCATGCAAAATGATAGTAAGGTTTCTAGTCTTTGAAAGAATAATAGGTTTCCTTTGTTCTAATCAATACTTCAGGTGGATCTTGTCAAGAATATAAAGGATTTTCCAATAGCAGCAAATTTTCCTAAAGGCTTGTGGATATACTTTTGTGCTTTTACATAGCAAGACGGCAAAAAGGTAAATACTTGGAAAAGCAACATCTTGCTTTGTAAAAGAATTGAAAAAACATCTTTATGTTATCTAAAAGTTCTTTTTATGTGACCGTGCAACTGATCATCTCTTACTTTTATCTTTTCCCTCCAATAAAAGCACTCTCAAAAAGTTTCTCCAAACATCATGCCCCATAAATAGAGTGACCTGAGGCAGCATCGAGCATGGGGCAAGGCAGTGAAGAACTAAATATGGAAAATATTTAAAAAAAAGGAGAAGAAATTAAAAAAAAAAGAAAGAAAACCAAAACCCATCATGGGTTGACGGTTTTCAACTTGAACCCAACCCCTATCCCAATTAAGGGCGTACCAAATCCATCCCAATAAGGATTGGACGGGTAACCCAATTAACCTGCTCCACCACATTATCAATTATCATCAGCTTCAATAATTGAATGTAAACGTTATGAAGAAAAAACATTTAAAAAATACAACTTTTAAGAGGCAAGTTAATGACCTGAACCTTGACATGCACATAAAGTTAATAAATTCGCATATTCATTGAGATCATTTTTTTTATTGAATTTGTTTGTTTAGAACCATAAAACAATACTTCACGGGACATGTAACTTATAAATTAGAAAGAAATGAACAGAGCTAGATAGCTAGCTATATCAAAAATATCAGTCTGAAAAGAACATCACTAACCTCCTCCTGCATGTATAAGAGCTTTGCTTTCCTTTGCTGGAACTCAGGGTGATGTGACTGGTCATAAGATCCATTTCCAACTCCACCTTCACCACTCGCCTCAGTAGAACCATAAAATGAGGTGGAGGCACCAGAATTACCACCCCTCACACTAACCTCGTTTCCAGCATTCCCAGTATCACATGAAGTGCTTACGTCTCCCAATCTCTTCTCAGACATCTCACAAATCTTGTTGAGCGTTGGACCAGTTACACTGCAAAATTCATCCAGTAACTGTTGGGCAGGCTTCAGGAACTTTGAATTCTTCAAAATTGTTGCATACCCAGTGAAGGGCCCAAGGGGACCCGTACTTCGGCGTTCATGGGTAGACAAGCTCACAACGCCTCCCATTGAATCTCTATAATAACCTTTATTACCAATTGATGACTTGAAACTTGAGCATAAATAACCAGGGTTGTTACTTTTGAAATCCTGAGAACCACTGGAAATGCCAGTCCTCGATTGTGAAATTCCAGACCCAAATCTTTCCCCAAACTGAGCTGCATGCAGCTCAGAATATCGGTGGGAGGACAGTGACAAGGATAGAGCCTGATGAGATGAAGAATCACTCGCAACAGTCCTCAAGTCTCCTCCAATTTTGTTTTCCGCAAAGCCCAAATTGGAATTCCACTGATTACTACCATCCAATGGCCTCTGTGCCGCCCAAGCACCAGCGCTGTTAAGTCTAGAAGGATTGGCCTGGTTTTCATAGACTGGCAAAAGAACCAGCTCATTTGCTCCATCCATCCATGAACTAGTTTCTCTATTAATGTTTTGCTGTACAAGAGAAGCCATTTCAGAACCTTGGCTCTGAACATTGGAGGAAGGTGCAACAACCTCATGAAGGGTATTTTGGTAAAATGAAGAACTGCACTGCATTGATTCATACTGTTTATGGCAATCTTTACTAGATAATTCACTGGATGGGTTGGTCAAAGATGATTGAACATCTTGGTACCCACTGAAACCGGGCTTCGGATAGTGGGCATAAGCAGAAGATTTGTTTTCATTCACCGTGCCAGATAAAACTCCCCCAGTTTGTGAAGGGCTCTGAGTACTGCATGCATTAATTGCCGGTCCATTCACATAATTCACTATCCAATCACAGATTTGCTGAGACCCAAAACCCTTCCAAATCATGGGGTTGTGGGTATCACCGGCTTTAACCAAAGGGTTAGAGTTGGATGGATTTGGATACGATGAATTAGCAAAAGAAGAAACCTCAGCTCCTACTGGCTTACCAGGCCGATCTGGCCCGGATTCTTCATGCAGCATTCCATGTTTGTGAGCTAAGGAGGAATGGGTGTTCGTCGTTGAGAAGTTGAGCATCTCTGAGGAGAAGATAGTAGGGTCATACAGAAGGTCGCCGCAGTTCCTAACATTCCGAACTTGAACCAGATCTGGGTTCAATCCGCCGGTATCTCTGGGTACTTGCACCAGATGCTGGGAGAAATCTTGCGTATGGTGGCGACCTTGACTTGAGCTTTGCTGAACTCTCAACTTGTCGCGACGGCTTTGCTGTGCAACATGAGAATCGGGCCTACAGTTGCTAATGCCCAAAAGCGAATTCTCCAAACTCGTCGTTGCGGAGTTGAAACATTCTGAATTAAATCGGTCAGACATGGATTCTTCTGATTACGATCACGCCCTCAAATTATCTGTCGCCTTCAAAGCTCCCCAAGCAACGTCTTGCTCAGAATTCAGATGAAAAGAACTGTGAACTGGTTCCAACCATTCCAAATCCATACCACCATACAATTGCCAGCATTCCTGCAGTCCAAACCAGTCTATAGAATAATAAAAATAATTAAGCAACAAAATCAAAATCAGCACAGAAATTAAGACTTTCCATACAATATTTAGCCATGTAAACATAAAAAACATCAAGGGGAAAAAAGTGATTGTTTTTTGTAGAATGGAAGAATATTAGCGAACAAGCAAACGCAAGAGAGAGATAGAGAGGGAAGAAAAGCAAGTTAATATCCATTAATGGAGTAGACAGCATTCAACCATGATAGTAACTGAAGCAGACGGGAAGATACTATACAGGCGGAAGAATTCGAGGATATCACATGGATTGCGAAAGACGAAAAATAAAACAACAAAAGCGTGAAAGCCATGTCTACTCAAGCAAACATCACATGACTTGGTGAAAAAGGACCAAGAGAAAGATCTCTCTCTCTCTCTCTCTCTCTCTCTCTCTCTCTCTCTCTCTCTCTGTTTCATTTCTCGATCGTCGCTTTCTTTCTTTAAGAATCTTTTGCGTTTTAAGCCAAACACCTTCTCCCCCTCTCTCTCTCTGTAGCAACCACAAACAGTGCAATTTTACTACTATGGGTAACCTCAACACGGAAAACTCAGAAACACGAAAAAACATCATAAGTTTCAGAGAACACGAAAAAGGAGGAACTATGTTACTGCAACCACAAACAGTAAGCTCTGGTGAAACCCTAACTTCGGAAGAGACACTAGCGTATCGTGCTCGCAAGAGCTCAAAAAAAAGCCACTCATCGAATTCCGCCTGCTTAGTGAAAAATCTCGAGAATCTCAACTCAACACTCACTGGATCCAGCTCAAAAATGTTAAAGAAACTGCCAAAGTCAATCGACCGTGAACTTTACAGTTTTCACTCACTACTCGTAACTGCTGTTCGTAGGATAATTACTGAAACTTAGAAACTCTCTCTCTCTCTCTCTCTCACTCTCTCTCTCTATCTTTTTCTCCTTCAAGTGAGAAAAACATGAAGAACAGTATCATTTCTCCTATAATCAACCGAACCTGATCATTAGTAATTATCGAGATGAACATTAGATCTACGCTCGTCGATGAAAAAAAGAAAGAAAGAAAGATACAGTTCGTTTAATGAAGGAAGACGGAATTTTTATTACCTCCCACTGAAACCTTCATCATCAGAACTAAGTTCAGAGAGAGTCTCCATTAAATCCAGACTTCAAGCTTTTCACCGACGAGGCTTCGCCGGAAATCCAACAGAAACCAGACCGGACTTCCAGGTTCAGTCGAGCTGGAGAACGAGAATGGCAAAGCGACAACCGCCGTTACCTTTAACGTCCATCACAGTCGGCTTTAACGTCATATCGCCGTCATCTTTAACGTCGAAAAACTCGCCCCCGTGACGGTGAACACTCAACACAGGAGGATCGCGGCAGCCCCTTCCCTCCACCAGAAAGATTTTTGCTCCTTCTTTCCTTCCTCGTTATAAAGGCAAAGAAATGAAAGAATGAGTCGCAATGACCAAACTAACCCTTCATTAATCCCAAATCACGAAAGCACTACTCCTCAAAAGGGTGGCGAGTGGCGAGTGAAGTACTGGGTATAGTAGCCGAACAAAAGAATTTTCCGACGTGGTAAAAAAAAAATACATGGAAGGCCATCAAAAGACTAGACTGTCCTCGTAAAGATACCATAATGACGAAACGACCAGCGTGCCAGAATATGACACGTGTCAATCAATTATTGGTATAGTAGGCTGGTAGCCCGTACTCCGCTGGCGACGGAAGACATGTTAATGACGTCAAGCGACGGCCGTACCTGGTCCGATCACTGCGGGGCCGCTTCGTATGTCGACGGCCAGATCTTTTGCTTGGCGAGGTCGGTTTTACCGATTTCCGAGAAAATACAAAAAAATTTAAAATAAAAAACAGAAAAATGCGTCAGTCACGTACGGCCAGGGTCTGTTGTTCCCTGCTGTCTTCCGCTCGGAAACTTTCACTCTCGGTTATGCTTATGGTATAAAGAATTACGAGAAAACCGATTTTTTTTTTTTTACATTTTCTTTTCTATTTTCTCATGGAGAGTGATTCAGTAGAACTCACTCACTGTAAGATTCAACGAAAACCGTCAGCAGGGATTAATAAATTAATAATACAAGTTCCACACTAAGGCTGTCAGATCGTGAGAACCAAACTTTTTAGGAACCCTAAGAATCCACGGAAACCGACGCTTGATATCCCCCAACCATCCATTTCATGGTCTTTGTTTCATGATATGCCACGTGTCAACTTTCTTTGTCTACAGCATACGATATGAAGGACAGTATGTGTGCCACGTGGCTAAGCTGGTACGCTGAGACTCTTAGTGGAATATTCTTGAGGCACGTGCGGCGAAGCTGGTACGCTGCTTTTTTGTCACGATGGTTTTTCTTTTTTCTCTTTCACAATTAATTGAAAAAGACTGGAGAATCAGTCGTTGGTGGTGGTAGGAAAGTGAAATTTATGAGAAAATTGTGGTAATTAATTAAGGAATAAGATGGGGAAAATCGGGAAGAAAATCTTCTCCGGAAGACGGTAGCAGAGAGTGGAGAAGATGGCCAATTAATCGGAAGGAACAACGATCAATCCCACCACTCGACGACAAGCCCAATCTTCTGACGTCACCTTTTCACATCACTGCAGGAAGCCTACACAAACCTATATAGTCCCTATATTTACTCTTTTTACTTTTTTAAGAAAAAAAAAAGATTTTAAGGGGTATATAGTTATAGGCGAAATAACTCTGAATGCCATTTTATCTTTCTTAGACGAAACTACCCTCCGGGTCAGGAAAAAAATGTCCCACAGGCCACATCCCACATCCACTCGTTCCTCTTTGTTGGGAATTTCACACGGTTCATGTTTGGTTGTCAATTTGCCTTTGTCCGGCTTGTTTGTATGCCGGGTTGGTGTACTTCATTCAGGCTCAGATGAAGCGAGACAAACAAGTTTCTAATTATAATCTTGGGTGATCTTAACTTCGTTGCCAAACGTCTACATAAATTATTTAGGCCACGTTTTTCAGCTGTGGAACAAAAACGCGCCAATCCAAGGACGACTGGACGAGAGTGCAAATGCAAAATCCGGCCTAGTTTTTATACAGGAGGTGTTTGGCATAGTGGCATTGAGCTGCATTTTGGGTTAATCAATACATACTTGTGAGATTGCTAGAGGTGTTAATTGTACTGAATTTGGATCAATGGTTTAATATGAATTCATTATAAATGGACCAAGTTCAGTTCACTCTGATGAATACTTTCTACTATTTTAGACCGGTCCAATATCTAATTATCTATTCAAAATTTTAAATTGGTTTAAATGTAAATTGATTCTAACCCAAACTTGGTTCATTGACACCTAATTTTTTTTTAATGGACAAAAATATTGATTCAATCAGACCCAATCCAATCAAAATTTATTATGAATGGAGCAGATCCAATCCAATCCAATCCAATAAATACTTTCAATTGTTCCAATTCAATGCATAGCATTACATTATTGACCGTACAAATGCCATTTCCATGCATAGCACTAGTACAAATAAAATCATATTGCAAGCAAATAAAGCCTTACATTCTTATTACAAGTACAGAACCACCAATCAAATAGGCAAGTGAATCCAATAACGATATGGACCCATTTGAAATTGTAACCTACCTTCTCATGGGTCCCTTTTGAACACAGAGTTACAGAAAGTATTTATTATGGGCCATTTGGAAAACCTATGACAATAACTAATGTATGCAATATAGGCTGATAATTGTATAGGATATATAGATAGGTATTAAATTGAATATGGGTTCCTTCTGTCTCCAATTATTATGTCCCCACTAGTACTATGGACCAATTAAGATGACACAAGTCTCCCATTTGGTGGACTTAATGCTCATTTACTAATATTGCATGCAAAGATCAACTACTCCTACTTAAAATATTAAATGTTGGACAAACTTGGTCTTTATAGGTTCTTGCATAATATAGAAAAAACTCTATTTAATAATAATAATAATAAAATCCTTTAATTAGAAAGAGAAAAGAAGGAAAGAATCTGTGAGATCTATATACCTTTAATACAAAATGAATGAATATAGTGCACTAATGGGGAGTAGATCCAAATCTGGGTCAACTTGTGTTCGGATTAAGTGGAAATGGGTATTGAGGGGCAGAATTAGAGGCAGCTGATTCTACAAGCTCCTAAATAGTTTGTGTTTTTTTACTTTTTTTTCTCATGGCATAGTGGAGTTAAGTAACAGATTTTAAACGTAGGTTCTTTATTTCTTATTTTTTTAGCTTATTATTTGAAACCCATAGAACTGAGTCCACAGTGGAATTCAGTTATATTAATTTTCACACAACATTAAGGCTATGCTTAGTTTGAAGGAAAATGTAGGGAAAGGTAGGGAAATCTATACAGGGTTTGTAAAGGTTTTTCTACCTTTCCCTTCCTATCCCTATTTTTTCCTCCAAACAAAACACAGTCTAAAGAAAAACAAAAAGAAAATGCTTTATTCCCACTGTTATGTTCTAATTTCATTCAATATTTTCACAAAATTGTATAATTGTCCAACTACATGGAATTACTATGACATCTATGCAAGGCTCAAAAGTATCGATACGTATTAGTCCGTATTAGTCAATACATATCGTATCGATAGCTTCCCAATACACCCCTATAGAGGTTGTATCGGGTCAGACCACGGTCTAAAAAATAACTGAGACTTAAACTGATCCTTCTGAACCAATTTAAAAAAAATAATAATAAAACATAAAAAAAAGTATCGATACTGGCCGATATGCCCTATACTTTGAACCGTACATCTATGGAAACAACTAACAAAAAATAATATCCTTTCATCATCATCATCAAGGAAGTCTAAACTAATATCCTCTCAAGTCTCAACAATGTCCATCATTAATTATATCTTTCACCTATTGCTTTCTTATTTAATGCCATCGTTAATTATATTTGTCAAATTAGATACAAATATAATTTTACAATAAAACACTAAAATAAAGTAAAATTTTGATAGTGAGTCACCATGAAAGATGAAAGTTGACAATTGTCAAGTGAATTGATTATCTTTACACTGTATCTGGAGTATAGAGTTTAAAAGAATTTCTAGAAGCCAGTTTGATGATTTTGAGTATTTGATTGACAACTCTTAAAGTTTACATCAAATCCACTAGCCAGTAGCCACTACTAAATTTAGGTTATAGAAATAAAGTTAATTCATAAGCAAAAAATAATAAATAATTAAGAATAAATATTTGGAAAATATTTACAAACAAAGAGTAATTCTAATAATGAATAAAAACGACAATTAATAATGGAGTTCGAATCAATGTAAATTATGTAAAACATGATCTGGGGGTGATGAATTCCTACTGAAAGACTGTAATAGGAAATAGGAGTGTCGATGGATTGGTTTTGGGTTGCATCCATCTAAATCAAAATCAATTTGAATGGATTAGACGGAACAACAAGATATATTGAGTTGGGCCAATTCAGTCCAAAGCATTTATTGGATTGGATCTGGTCCATCCGTAATGGATTTATATTAGATTAGGTTGGATCGAATCAATATTCGATTCATTGATAGAAGATAACAATACAGGCATTGTCAATGGACTAGGTTTGAGTTAAAACCAATTTGAACAAATTGGACGATTCAGACATTATATTGGACTGGTCCAAGATGGTCCACAGTATTCATTGGATTGGATTAGACCTGATCCATCTGTAATGGACTCCTATTGGACCGATTGGATTGGATCAAATCTGGTCTAATTCACACCCCTATTAAGAAATACAGTGTGAACAGTTTACATTTGAATAAAATGAAGCATACCACAACAAGGATTTCTTTATGGTTTACAGTGAATTCAAATCCTTGACAACATTTCTGACGACCATAAGAAAAAGTCTGAATTACAAACAAATAGTGCGCGAGGCAATAGTATCTAATATCTTTGGATGTATTGATCCTGAAACAATGTAAAAACCATATAAGTGATTTGCAATCTTAATAAGACACCCATATAAATACTACAAATTAAAAGTGTTTGATCAGGCAAGGCAATAGAGCTATATTGAAAACCTAGAGGCTACAAGAGGAAGCTCTTAGGGTCACCTCAACACTGAATGGGTTTCCTTATCTCTCCTCCATTAATTGTTGCTTGATATGTTATATAGGCACTTGGGTCGATTTTTTTCCATCTAATTAATCCACCCATGTGCTAGCTTTTTAACTTCTCATTCTTTTGTTTGTCTGTTTCTTCTTCTTTCGTGATGGAATTCTCTTAACCAAAAAAAAAAAATCAATGGTCTACATTGTTTTACTGTTAGACTACAAATTTTGGAGAATGCAAATGACTGATAGTACTTGGACTGCATATATAGA